TTTCCATTTGGTCTTAGTTGATCCCTCTTCTACTTCTTATGCCTTGACGATGGAGATGGGCTGCGATCACGAATAATGGATTCCTCATCTCCCATTTGTTATTTTTTTTCATCCATCATTTTTTCTCCAGTTTCCTGTAACCCACACAAGACAATCTATGAGGGTAAATGTTTTTCGTTTTATTTTGTATTCCTGCTTGACTTTTAGTATGATATAAACATAGTGAAAATATGATTAGTATCTATATATCATTAGCATAAAATTATAGAATGTATTAGAAATTATAGAAAGTCATATTAAAATGATGAAAATTAATATTAATACCTTAACGTCTATTCATATGCCATCTTTGACAGCCTCGAACGCTTTTTTCTAATCATATATCAACATATTAACTTTGCTACATCCAAGGAGCGCAACATAACTCTTAAAAAACAAAGTGTATTCACCACCAACTACTCTATAAACGAATCAAACGCGATAGGAAATTTATTACCAGATTTGTGGACTTTTGTTACATAGGTAAACATTGTGGCACCTCTTTGTGATCTTTTCTTTTTGTTTTGAGTATCATTTGTCATAGTTTCCTCGCCACTAAAGGAAGAATATGATGAAGACGACATCTATTTTCAAAAACAACAACAACAATAACAACAAACTCTTTTATCTGTTATCACATACACATTAAACAACAATAACAACCACCATAACAAAAGATTAATCAAGTTTTATCATACACACTCAATAACAAGCAGAAAAACAACAAGAACAATAACATTAACAACAATGGAAACTGAAGTTTACTGTAGATGCATGGGAAACAAGTTTTACGTACCGTAAACGTGATGACTAAGTAAAGATGAATATTTAGGTTGAAACAAATAATGTTATTGTTGTATTTCTCCTTGACGATGACGATGATGTTAGTGTTGGTGTTGGTGTTAGAGTTGAAAATGAACTGATTACTATGGGTTGAAAATGAACAACAAGTGGAAAATGATGAACCGGTGAAAAATATGAACTGTTGAATAATTGATGAAAAACGATGAACAATGAATGTTAGGGTTGATATGGTGTTTCGTTTCTCAGTACTGAACGTTAGGGTTGCAATGGTGTTTCATATCGCATTGTTTCTAAGTAAAGAATGGATACTGAAGAGACAAGCTAGTTAGCTGTGATAAAAATGAATCAATGATACCACCATGGCCACAAACTGGAACCGTGGTGATATATTACTTGCTTAATTAAATTTCATAAAGAAGCGCCAGTATATTACAATTTAAAATATTTAAAACAAAATGAAAAATATGCCACAATGGTTCTATTAGACAACCGTGATGATATCATATTTATTTAAAAATTAAAAATAAAAAGGCGTGACTAAATGTTAAAGAAATTAAACATTTGAAGCGTTAGTACATTACAATTAAAAATATTTAAAACAAGTCATAACAGTTGAGTTACTCAACAGTGGTGATATAAAATTTATTTTGAAATTAAAAATAAATAAAAATATAAAGGCGCGACTAAATCTTAAAGAAATAAAATATTTGATTTTGCTGAGATTCGAACCCATGAAAGGGTAATTATATAACCACAGTTATTTCTTTCGTCCGTGATTATATTATATCAAAATTTTAATAAGTAAATAAATGAAAATATTCGCGCGTTAAGTAAAAGATGTCATCGTGATCCTTCGTGGTACTGTGATAACCATGGCGTTGTTGTATATACATTTTGTAGTAGTGTGATCCGCGTGAAACCTAAAAAAATCCATTATAAAACCTTCTGATGTCTATAATTGATAAAAAAAACTTTATTTATTTTTAATTATTCATCTGAGCAAAATATCATTTATTTTTCTATGATAGATTGCAAGTGTAAAAAATTATCTGGGTTTAAAGTTTATATTTTTAAATATTCATTTGAGCAGAAAATCATTTATTTTTCTAACCTTTTTTTTTTCTACCACTTTTTTTGTTTTATATCAAAAACAAATACTTGCAAGGTGAAGCATTTGATTTTACCCAAATATCAAAGAGTCGAAGATCTAACATATGATCTTCAGGGATAGAATAATTTTTATTTTAATATTCCGTGTAAACAATGTAATATTCTGGGTAAACATAGTAGTTTGTAAACAATTTTTTTTTCTTTATTTTCTGTTTAAAAAATGTAACAAATTTCAATTTAAAAAATAATATATCTTACCCCTCGATTTTATTGTAAATCGAGATGTATAAGACGCTAGTTTTGTAAATAATAAAAATGTTGATGTTGAAGTTCAAACCCATGTGAAAAGTAATATACTCACATGTGTTTAAAAAACAGAGGTGATAAGCGTTACTTTTCATGACGCTTTTCGTTACGTCGCTACTGCAGTCGAGGTAAAATGCATTTCGTGTTCGAGATTTTGACAATTAAAGCACTACACGCTGCTTTTGCTAACCATTCTTTTTCCACGTCTACCTCTTAGATTTCCTCCTCTAGAGTTGTTTGATACAACAACCATACTACCACTATTTTCACCCTTTTGAAATGTTGAATTCTTATAATTTTAGGAATTTCCCCCAAACTTCTAAAAGTTTCCTCTATCTTTGTTCACGGGCCACTCTCCCTTCGCCTTCTTGTCTCTCTCATTGAAATGGGCTTGTAGAGAGATCTTCACCTTTGCCTTATCAACATTTGTTTCTTCCAATTTCTACTTATGTTCTTCAAAAGAGTTTTTGTAGCTCCTTTTTACTCATTGTCGTAAAATCATTTGATTCCTCAATCGTTACAACTAAGTTATCACATCTTGTCGTCAAAGAACACAAGACTTTTGCGATAACATACTGCTCTATGATAGTTTATCCACATATCGAGTAACTCTCATTGTGAAATCGTTGATGGCCTCATTCTCCTCCATTTGAATCAACTCAAGTTGACGTTTGTGAGTTTGTAACTTCACAACCTTCGCCTTGTCAGCCCCTCCGCATGCCTTCTCCAAGAATTCCCACACTTTCTTTTTTTCTTTCTTATACGATGCTCGTTGTGCATCTGTTGCACCTTAAACAAGAGAATTCACACATTTCTTGATCACTTTAAGAACATCTTGGTAGCCAAACGACACCTATATTTGTTTGCACCATTTTTCATAATTTTTGTATCAAGGATGGGTAAGTTTGCAAGAATTCTTTCATTGGAGACAGAATTCATGTTGCACACTAGGTGTTTGGTGAATCAGACTAGAATCTTGATGAAAAATATTAGAACTTATAACCACAAGGTTAGTGAAATTGAGTAGTTAAGTGTGGAAAAGGAGAGAGAGAGAGAGAGAGAGAGAGAGAGAGAGAGAGAGAGAGAGAGAGAGAGAGAGAGAGAGAGAGAGAGAATTAGATAGAGTATAATTAAGGGTGAAAATATTCAGACATTCAACATTCTCATTAATTGATACCTTAAAGGTATATATAAAAAAGTTTAATTGATTGAGATACAAGCAACTAATTGAAAATAACAGAAAAAACTGAAATTGTCTATTTGTAAACTGGTTACCGCTTTCTGGTAATCGGTTACAATTGTTTCTAAACCTAATTTCCAACACAGTGGTAACCGATTACCAAAATGCAGTAACCACTTACAACTGTTCGAAAAGCAAAAAAACAATACAGTGGCAATCAGTACCAAAACGCAATAACCAATTACAATACTTGAATTATGTGATTTTCACAACATTAACCTACGAATTCACCCTTCCATTAAATTGAAGATTGACTTTCATATTATTTTTTTGTTGACAAAATGAGAATAATTCAAGTAAAAATGTTTTGACGTGTATAAGAGGTATTTGGAGATTATCTTTCGTAATATTCATACGACATTTTTAAAGGTATTTTTCATCACTAATAAGGCTGACAATGAATCGAACCAACTCAAAAATAATTCGGAACTCGATTCGACAATTAAATCGTTAAAATAGGTTCATGAACCAAATGAGCTGAATATGAGTGAAAAACTAAGTTCGTTAACTAAATGAGTTGAACTTGAACTATACATAATTCGACTTGTTAGGTTCATGAGTCAAATGGACTATATATGAAAATTATTACATTATCTTTAAGTGTATGTTTATAGATTTACTCTAAAATCTTAGCCATGTATTTTCTTTTAAACTAATAGTGGAAAATATATAGTAGTATCCCATATGGCAACGGATGTTTTTGTCATTTCAATATTTATGGTGGCTTCGTAGCCAAGTTTTAGCGCCAGAGAAACACTTATTGATTCATTTTAAAAGTTATGTAATTTTTGAATTAGTAGATTTTTGAGATAAAATTAAATTTCAATCTAATAATTTTTATTTGATTTTAATATATATATTTTAAAATATTAATTTAAAATGTCAAATGTAAAAAAAATACTTTAAAAAATGACTTTAAATTTAGTAAAGCAATCAAGCTGAACCTAATGAGATAAACCAGATTGTTCGTGAACTTATAACGAGTCGAATTTGAGTTTTAAAAAATTCGTATCAAACTCAAACCGAAATTTGAACTGAACCTATTATTAATGAGTCGAACCAAACTGAGACGAATTCGACTCAACTCGACTCATTTTTTGTCCTAACTAATAAAAAAAGAACTCCCTTTTATTAATATTAAATAAGAATATAATAAAACTTTTTCATAAAAGGACAATATTTTTATCAAAACTTTATAAAAGAAAATAATAAATTTTATTAATTATTTAAAAAACAAAAGTTATAATAAAAATAAATCACACGCTATCCATTAAAATTTATCAAAATCAAGACAAAAAAAGTATCAAAATTAATTAACAAATCTCCTTTTTTACATTTTTCTTCTTACGTGACTCTTTCTCTTTCCTCGCCGAAAGCTTGATCTAGTATCTTTTTTTCAAGATATATACACCTCCTCAATAACTTTCAAACCCTTGTCAAATCCATTTCTTCTTCTTCTTCTCTCAACTAACCTTCTCCTCATTCACAAAAATTCACAAAAATGCCGAAAGATAGAACTATCGGTGTAGCTTTGGACTTCTCCAAAAGCAGCAAGAATGCTCTCAAATGGGCTCTTGAAAATTTAGCTGATAAAGGTGACAACATTTACATCATCCACATCAGCCAAGATTCCATTGATGAATCTCGGAATCAGCTATGGTCCAAATCTGGTTCTCGTAAGCATTATTGCTTTTTCTTAATCAATTCATAATTTGAGTCTATAATGTTTTTATTTTTATTTTCTGATCTGATTTTATATAGTCTAATTTGATTTTTATGGATTTTTTTGTGTGTGAAGCTTTGGTTCCTTTGAAAGAGTTCAGAGAACCTGAGATCATGAAAAAGTATGGGGTTCAAATTGATGTTGAGGTTCTTGATTTGCTTGACACTTTTTCAAGACAAAAAGAGGTTTTCTTTATTTTTTTTTTATTTTTATTTATTTTTATTTTTCTATAATATTTTCTGAGATTTAATTGTTTTATTGATGATTGATTTTTTTAGGTGAATGTTGTTATAAAAGTGTATTGGGGTGATGCAAGAGAGAAACTTATGGATGCTGTTGAAGATCTGAAGCTGGATTCTCTTGTTATGGGAAGCAGGGGTCTCAGCACAATTCAAAGGTTCAATTATTTTTTGAACCCTAATTTTTGAATCTTGATGTTTATAAAAAATGAATTAGATCATGTAGAATTTGTTTTGGAATGCAAATTGGTGAGTTAAAAGTAAAATACTAAAGATTAAGCTTATAGGATTTAACCTGAATTGTCTCTATGATTGTAACTAAACAGAGTTTCATACAGTAAACCGTCTATTGATCAGTTTATTGACCTTTTAGTCAACGATCAAACGGATGATAATTCACAATTATAAAATTAGCTTTAAACAACTCTTGATTGTTAATTGAGATGAGACAATTGATATCTGTTGCACTGACACTTCTGAACAAAAGCGTGTCTGGATGACACGAACACATGTGATTACGTTCAATTTATTAGTTATTTTCAATTATTACCTGTGTTGACGTGTTAGTGTTGTGTCTGTGCATGTCAATGCTTTATAGGATATCTGTAACTGTGTGACATAGTTATTTCATCAAATCCAAATCCTTTGTATGCATATATTTTCTTGATTACAAGATAGATATCTTAGTGACGGGATACAGTTGGGAGATAATTAGGTCTCTAAATCATATGGTAAGGAATTCAATATTAAACCGATGCATATGAAAGAACTACAATTAGGAGAAGTAAATCCTTTAAATATATTTCAATACAACGACAGGGATGTCGGGTTCACCCTTTCATGACAGGATTATAATCTTATGAGTCAATGTTTTAAAAACCAAACAAAACAAACCAGACGGTCCAGCTGATTAAATCTTGAACCGGCATTGTCTACTGTTCGATAATTTCAATGGTTCTACCACAGTTTTGCATAGTTCGAGTAGTTTTAAGCAATTGAACTGTGACCTAGAGATCTTGCCGATCCGATGTCTTGTTCAGTTTTTAAAATATTTCTCAGAATAAATAAGATTATTGTTTTGATGGATTTTTTCTGTCTGATTTTGTTGAAACTTGAATCTCATGAACACATCTCTTTGTGATCTTACACACACAAAAAAACAGGATCTTATTGGGAAGTGTAAGCAATTTCGTGATGACTAATGCTCCTTGCCCTGTGACTATCGTCAAGGACAATGTCAGCACCAGCAGCAAGTAAAGAAGATGATCAATTTGCGATGGCATTGAAGTATGGAATGTTCTGTTTCTCGCATTGTACTTGAACTCTTGTTGATCATCTTCTGTTTCCTTATTTCTGATTTATATTATGTTATGACTATATCTATCTGGTTTACTTTATTGAAAAACTAATAATGTAGTTTTATATTGTGCCATAAGTTATATTACAGATTATTCACAAGACAGAAGCACAAATTGAAATTGATATCTTTTTTTTAGCCATATGTTTCTGGCTAAGTTGCCATATTTATTCACATGGTGGAGCCACTATCATGTAAGCACATGTTGGTTACAGAAAGGTTTCAAAAATCATAACATACAAGCATAATGAGTTCTCTGTCCCCAAAAACAATAATATTGTGATTCCTTCTAACATGACAACTTTTGCTATCAAGGACTCTAATAAATAGGGTGATCATGGGTAACGGTCAATCCAATCCAAAGTAACCCTTATTTTTATCCAATTTAAGTATGTATGGCTCAACCCGAATCAATACATTCAAATTCATTGTATTTGATTAGGGTAATAGGTTTAAAGTTTTAAATTCACGAATCCGCCAACCCAACCTGTTTTATTTTATTCATAAATTATATATATATTTAAATATAATTATATTGTTTATTAATCGTAAAAGTCTTACTTTAAATTAAATTTAAGAGATCAAATTTCTTTATTTAAAGAGAGATATGTTACATTTTAAATTATATTTTATATCATTTGTATATATTTTTTAAACTATTTGTATAATTTTTTATTTGATTTGAACTTAAAAGAGTTTTTAGGTATTAAAGAATAAACTTTATTCAAATTAAATATTAAAATTTTATAATTTTTAAATATTTTTATAAAATAAATGTGTTAATTTAGTGTTGCGTTTTGCATGCCGATTTGGTTATCCTAGCAATAATCTTGATTTCCTCAACAATAATCTAAATTTCCTACCAAGATAATTTGATCGGACAATTTAGAGACTAACAACTTTGGAAGAATATCTTTAGTGCAAGTTCTGTAGTATTAAATTCTTTAATAGTAACGGTAGTTATAAGCAATTTGCATTGGAATAAGAATGACATGGCAGTAAGTGAACTAACAATTAGTGAGAGTAAACTATATAAACTAAGAATGACATGACAGTAAATGAACTAACAATTAGTGAGAGTAAACTATATAACCAACCCACACTATCCATTCTCAATGACTCTTATTATTATTTTATTATTGTTTTATATTATTAAAATATCAATAAAGCTCCAACAACTATAAAATGTGGGATCAAGTTTTAATTTTTTACAAGCAACCATCGTTAAAGTAAAAACAACTCAAATCAACTATAAATATTTTAAATCCTACAAATCACTATGAGCCCACAAAAAGTATCTTAGTTTATCCATTTAATTTACTCCCATTAAAGATACTCTAAGACATAAATAAGGCTCTCAAATGATAACATCTAAACTAAAATGATTTAGTTTCAACTTCTCTTATTTATCTCTAAGATTAGTCCAAAACTAACTTACTTCTGGCTTTATTTACTTTGCATCGCATTGTTCTATTTTGCAGCAGCACTAATCTCAACATAGCGAGATTTGAAAAACACTAAGGGTTCTTTTTTAGGAGGCAAAGTCTCTTTGACAATAGGATGATTGACGAACTCTTGACTAGTCTCTTTGACAATAGGATGATTGACGAACTCTTGACTCTATTTATGGAGTTTAGGAAATTTGTCATCACTTAGCAACTTCATTCCAACAGTTTTTTCAATGATAGGAAGCCAGAAAGCTAAGAAGGAAGCAGCAATGTCCACAATGCTATTCTTTTCTCCACCAAAGAATGTGTTCTTAGAGTTCATTTTCGAGAAATTATAGAACCTGCAACGCTTCTTTCGTGCCTTTCTCTCATTCCTCTTTCTTCATTGTCCATGCTGCCTTTGATATTGCTTATCTCCATAGAAATGAAGTTTATAAAAAAAAAAATTCTAAATATAAAAAAAAAAAAACTTTTCAAATACGTTGACTTTGTGGTGGGTAAAGTCACATACAATTTAATATAATTTTAGTTTTTTATTAAAAAAAAAATGGAAGATAAGAGAGAGAAGAGATAACACAAGAGAAAGAGGCAAAACTACCGTAACTTTACCGCCTTAAACTTATTAAAATCTGATTCAATCTTTTTCTTTTTTAAAAGATGAAATCTGGTCTAAAGACAGACTAATTAAAAAAAACCAATCTCATTGCCTTTTAATACAAACACAAATACGATTGCTCTACATGACTGACTTGACACATAAGTTACCTATGCGATATTAGTTTATCTACGGATTGTAGAAAACAAAGAAGCAAATAAAGAAGCAAATAAATGTTACTCACCTTGTCATCAATGAAGTTAGACCAAAATCTAGCTAAGGCTTATTCATAAGCTTGTTGAGGGAAAATGTGATAATTCTCCCAAGTTTCATCAATGTATTCAATGACCACAAGTGACTCAGACAATGGTTTTCCATTGTGAACAAAAACAGGCACTTTCTTATGAATAGGGTTATACTTAAGAAGAAGTTCACTTTTGTTTCTTAGATTTTCTTCAATGAAAGAGTACTCAATACCCTTTAGTCTTAGAGCATATTGCACTCTTTGAACAAATGGGCTTCCTCTTACACCCAACAATTGTACTTCAACCATTGCAAGTGAAGAAACTCTAAGTTCTTAAGAAAATGTGGAAGTCGATTTTGGTTCTAACTGTTATTTTACTCTTTGGGATGGGATTCTTTATGTTATTAATATAGATGAGTTTGGTAAAGTTTGTGATGGAGAGTTCACCACGTTTTCATGAATTAATGTTTTTGAAAAAATGTGCTGCAAATCAATTATGAGATATTGAAAGGTTAAAACTATGAGCAAATTATAAATATAATTTGCTGTCACATTTAACTGTTAACTTTTAGGTATATTATTCATTCATATAAAATTAAAACAATAAATATTTTGGCATTTTAGTTTTTATATTTAACATAAATAACGTAATTTTAGAGTTTTATTAAAAAAAAAACTGAAGTATTCTATAACTGAAAACTTTGTCCATAACAAATTACAACCCTTTGTCCAAATGGACAAGACAAGATCTTGAATACAAAATCTTATAAGGCTTACATATATCTTGGTTCATCATGAGAAACATTATATTGGGTTAAGAGCAATTCAAAAGCGAAAGAAACATCGTATATATTTATTCAAAATCTTAAGATGATGGATGTATGAGTCCTCTCGTTTATAAAATGTTTAACCTTCAGTTTTCTAAGCAATGTGGAACTTCCAACTCACATTTGTACACAACAATCTCCTCCTCAAGTGTGAGTCCATCCACTATACTTCTCCTCAAGTGTGAAAGTATGCATGATGAATATGTTTGGATATATATATATATATATATATATATATATATATATATATATATATATATATATATATATATATATATATATATATATATATATATATATATATATATATATATATATATATATATATATATATATATATATATATATATATATTGCGATGTATATGAGTGAGTTGTGATGAATTGTGTTGAGAATGTAGAATATGTGTATTTATATGCTAAGATATATAATTATATGCATTGTTGTTATGATAATATTTCTCACCCTTCTTCTGTTTTATGGTGCTCTATGAGGCATTGTAGAGTAGGTTTGTCGGAGGTCTTTTTGTGAAGCGTGTCTTTATTCTTTTGGTCGGTCGGCTCTGATATGTAGCACCAGGTAGCTAGGATGTACATGATTCTTTTGTGATACATTTGTATATGTATCTTGTTGGTGAATGTTTATGTAAACATGACTTATGTTGTTGAATCATACTGGATAATATATATATATATATATATATATATATATATATATATATATATATATATATATATATATATATATATATATATATATATATATATATATATATATATATATATATATATATATATATATATATATATATATATATATATATATATATATATATATATATATATATATATATATATATATATATATATATATGTTTGATGTTATTCATTGTTTAGATTTTCCGCTTTTATTCTAAATGTTGAGATGTGGGTGTAAGGACTAAGTTTCTCTGTTGCTAAGTTACCCCACTATTGCATATCTTTTGTTGAGCATGTGTTGTATGTTTTAATTTCATGCGTAATGTGACGCGCCTCTTTTATACTATGTTTATAATTATACTCTGATGAAATTTTTATTATGTGACTAATTGATTATGTGATTATTTGGGGGTATAGAAATGGGGTGTTATAACTACACTCTTCAACCAAAATGACATTTTCATTATCTCTCAACCATCGTTTTTTCGAGAGTAGCTCATTCATAAATTTAGCATACACTTGAATTTGGTCCATGGCTTCACAAAGGGGAATGTTGATTTTAATTTTTTGTAACATCTCCTTAAAATTTTGAACTGCTCTTCTTTTTCATCTTTCTTCTTAAGTTTCTTTGTCAAGAAAAGATAGGGTGCTTTGATATAATCGAGGAGAACAAGGTTAGGATCATTAAAAATATATTTCTTGGTCCTCCTTCATGTTGAGTTCTTATCTATAAATTGATCAAGATTCTTACCCTTAACCTCATCATTACTCTCAATCTCACTTTTTTCTCCCTCATTTTTCTTATTCTCAACATCACCTTCTATCATCACTTTCTTTTCACTTTCATTCTTCTCCCCACTAGCTTGTATGGGTGTACCTACCACTCTACTCCTTAACCCAATCACACTACATTTTTCGTACTTTGGGTTATCCACAATGTTACCATTGAATCCCTTCTCAAATTAGCCTGAGCTGCTATTTGCTTAGACATTTTCCCAATTTGTGCCTTTAAATATTTTATGGAGGCTTCCGTGTTCTTATTTGTTGTTACTTGACTTTGCATCATCTCTTGTTGTGCCCGACTTACT